GGCCGATATTTGGTCTACGAGCCTGCGTCGTCTAAGAGAGCAGACGACAAGCAGAAAAGTTTCAAAGAGCAGACGACAGTTCAAACGATCAGGCGGCCGTTTGAACTTGAAGACGCACTGAATGTAGTCCGCAGGTGGTCCGCACAACTTGACGGCTTTCTGGCGTTCATGTTGGAACAATACAAATAAATCCGATGACCACAAGTATCCGTGAATTGAACCCAAAGTGCTTGCCGCGGTCCCGCCCAAGCAATCGTTGTCCGACGGCGTCTGCTTTTCCCTTTTCACGGCACATATCCAGATTCTCGGACGAACCGAGCACGTGAAAACTAACCTTAAACCTTTCTCGACTCTTTTGGTACGGCCCCAGTCGCGGCGCTTTGACGAGAAGGCCGGTTTTTGTCTGGTTCCTTTCAAAACAACGCAGGAATACACGTCTGGCATGGGGACTTCTGCCCACAGCCCCAGACCGGAAGTGCTACCGACGCGCCACCACCGCGCCGTGACGTCACAGAGTTGAGTTCGTACAAAGAAACGGCGGGCAGGGTCAAAGGAGACAAGAAGCGAAACGCTCGTTCGTTCGTTCTTTCTAAATATTTACAATATATATTGTCTGTTGGAGCTGACTTTCCTTCCATTTATAAGTAAAACAACCAGCTGGGCTATTTTCCCCTAAGTTGTGCGTCGAGTGGCGTATTTATTTGCAACTGATTTCATCGAGAAAGAAAAAGCATAAAACTATTTTAAGATTAGAGAATCTTACATTGTAAATAGGCACGATTACAGGCACCCGATTGAAAAAGAACTGCCGCGTATCATCTTCATATTAAATGACTGCATTGCTTCCAGGAGGTTGAAGAGGCGTCAACTCTTCTTTTTTTTCTTTTTTTGGTCTCGACCATCCATCTTTATGATGGGAAATATATTCGCTACCATTATCATTCTTAGTCGATTATTGCGATCATGTAGCGGCACCTGCCGCTCGCAATTCGCTCTTCATCCACACACACACAAAAAAAAAAGACACAATACAGGTGTAGCTGTTCGGTTTTCAATGTTTATTGTTTCACCATCAGATACACGGGTGCTCCGGTTACATAAGCAAGACCCTGCAGGGAACCACCTAATAGCGCGAAGGACAAGCTTCACCACGGCAGCCCAACTGCGACAAACTTCAGATTTTGCTCAGTCTCTCCTGAAAGCGAAATAAACGTGGAACTGATGAGTATATGGATCGCTTTGATTTCGCCACCGGTCAGGAGCGTTTACCAATTGTCTATCACTCATAGTAAACAGTCGAAATTGTCTGGTTCCAGACGTCCCCCCCTCCCTCTCTCTCTCCCTCTCTCTCTCACTCTCAATCTCTCTCTCTCTCTCTTTCTCATTTATCGCTTCAAGAGCGCCGAATAACCAATCACGAAGCAAGAAGCGTGAATACAAAAAGCCGCACCCCTACGTTTCTTAAAAAGCCCCTAAAAAAAAAAAAAAAGGTTTTGTTTTTTGTTTTTTGCTTTTTTTTTAACAAACTAATTAGGACACGCGTGCCAAAAAAAAAATATTCTACGCGAATAAAAATTTAGAGCAATATTGACGGCGAGAGATTTATTTGAAAAGTCCATGACGTCACAGAATGGTCATTCATTCAACGAGATTGTAATTCGCTCATTCCACCTCAACGTGAAGGCGAAGCCGATTCACCTTTCCTCCAAGCGACCGCAATGCCGAGGGAGAAAACAAGAGAAAAGGAGGTGACTACCGACTAAATCGCGTCTCGCACTGTCAATACTGCTCTAAATTTATTCTTTTTTTTTTTTTTTTTGCTTAAAATTAATTTTTGACACGCGTGTGTCTCTAACAAACTGTCTAACTTTTTTTTTTCTTTTCAGGTTTTTTTAGGTTGTCGGCGACCATATAGACGCTATCCGCATCGTCGTGGGGAAACCTCGCCGCTTTCTCCCCCTCTTCAAACCGACTCGTTGCCCACCCGAAACCCTTTGACCTGATGCTTATAGTAGCAAGACTGTCGTTGCATTATTTCCCGATAAACGTATACAAGGGTGATTCAAAAATTGGCCGCACAAACGTTTCAGCTCCTCATCTCGCACAAACTTTTTTTTAAAAGACAAAGTTTTTGTCGTGGATGTTATGCACAGGCAGTCTTGGCCGACTAGAAAAGGATTCGTCACAGCCTCCATGCTTCAAAGGTTCCGGTAGCGCGGTACGCCGAACACGCTAACGGTTTCATAAAAGTCTCCAAGGAACAGTACCGAGAACCCGTTTTCAAACTGGCAGAAAACTTCGTCGTTTTAAAAATCTGATGTGATCGGGAATGTACCGGTTACTTTTTCAAGTAACGGCCAATTTACTTTTCCTCTCGGGTAATCAATAACTTAATTGAATACTTTTTAACCAAGAGTAACTATAATTGTAATAAATTACTTTTTTTTTTCAAGCAGCGGGTACAAGGCTGGCACAAAGCAACGACGCCAGACACACCCATGGCCCACCAAGCTCGAATCACCTAACTCTGCATCTTCTTTTGTGCAGATAGCAAGTGGGGCAGCCATTGTTTCTCAAACCGCTGTCACAATTGAATTAATACCTTCCGCTTGAACAACGGTGACTGCAGCGACAGCAACTTCAAACGAAAAACGATGACAAGACAACGCAGTCCAAAAAAAGACATTTTAAGATAACCCCAGTACGGATAACTCCTTATTCACCCTCATGCTTTTTATTCATCCCCCCCCCCCCCTCCCCCCGACATGTTGAAGAGTCTACCACGCGTTCCTCGAAGAGCACTCGGCAAAACCAGAATCCACTTACAATCCAGACAGCCGACGGCTTAAAAACCGAGCTCAGATCGAGACCTCCCGAGAACGTGGGCGGCGACAGATGCTCGGTTGCAAATATTTCCTGTCCACACCTGTAGACGCACAGGCGGTTCTTGTAGCGTTCCACAGTCACGCGAACCCGACTCCCAGGGCGCATGTCATCCGGGCAGGGCACCACCGCACCTTCTAAAGTAAACAGGCACCTGACAAGCGAGAGAGACGCTGTTATCAAGGAGATGTCTCGTTGTTTCAGAGAGCTGCAGTGGTCCTAATCAGCCAACACCACATATAAATAAGAAGCCGCATAGCGCTGAATTTAACACTGAGAGCCAGCGCGGGACACTTATTGGATACGAGAGCAACGTCAAAGTTTGACTGGAACTGGCGTTCCATGAGTGAGAACACGCGTTCGAGACGAATCCTGACGCCGCACTAGCGTCCAGACTGTGAAACCCACTGGTCCTCAATAGGTTACGTAGAGAATTGACCACTATGCGGCTTTCTATTTAGGGGGTGGTGATTCGGCCTCATTTCAGCTCGAGTTCTGTAGTAAGTGTTACAACCGGATCGCTAAAGCTGGCGGACGCTGGAAGGTAACGTGCAACGTCGGACTGCTCAGTCGCTGTTTAAACGAACTGAGCGCATTTTATCGGTATCGATACATAAACACTGCAAAGCCGAAAGCACGATCAGCCAAGCTAATTATCATAAACGCTAGCGCAAAACGCGGACGCAATACACACGACGGGCACGCGAGAGTCGATCCATTCAGAGATTGCTACGGCATCGTGTGAAGTTTTTCAATAGACCGATCTCACCAAGCGCTCTACGCATGCGTGACGCCGCCATAACTGTAGTTCGTCGGAGGCAGACGCCAGTTCACGAGACAGCTCATGCCAATCGTGCTCTGCTCGCGCAGACCTCCAGCAGGGTTGTCGCGCGTGCAGAAAGACAACAGCTCCCACAATGCATGTCGGCAGCGGTGGCGTATACTCAAACTAGCTGTGAGATCGGTCTATTGATTTCACTGATGTAAAATAATCACAGCACAAAATGGCAAACTTGGGGGAGTTGCTATTAAGCGCGCGATAACGATTAACTTCCACCGGATTTTCTACGCATATCGTCCAACTTGTTGCTCACAGCTCAAGAACGCAACTATTGAGAAACATCGTTTTCGTGAGGCCAGAGCTAGGAAGACGCCGTCATACATCTAGCCACCAGTTCAGCCTGTTGCTTCACCGTATCAATAAACTAACTAAGCTTCCCGACGCAACCTAATTTAGATTTCGTCGACGAGAGCACATTAGTGTTCGGTTTACCGAATTACATCGAATATACGTAAATCTTTGACAATCTACGGAGCCCAGCGTGCCACTTCCCAACCCAGCCCGAACGCTTTCATCACTTCCGAAATGGAACAAAACATGCACAATGAGCGTGTATTTTACGTATGGCACCTGCCACAAGTTGCGCCATCCTACCCATGTCTCTACTCGTGCGATCAAGCGCGTGGAAATAAAAGCTTACCGAAAGTTACCTTCCCGCATACGCCGCACGTGCTTGCACGCTTGGAGCCCATAAAGCTTTCTTTTTTCTTTTTTTTTCCGCAATCACTGACACGATAAGAACGGCCGGGCGTCATCTTTTTGGCCTTCCGCCGTGCAATGGCTACGCGTACAAGCTCGACGCCCACGAGACGCCGAAGCACCATCGAAAGTACGCGAAGCGCAAGTTCGTCTGCTTGGAATCTCCTAAAGCCGCGTTGACACCGACATCACAAAAGGAACGCTGCAAACACTAGGGAGTTTTAGGGAACCGTTTTTGCACGTCCGATACGCTACGATGGTCTCTCCGGAATCAACTGCGCATGTGCAATTCTTCTGTGATAGCGCATGCGCAGTTCGTACCGGAGGGACCGTAATACGTACCGTATCGGACGTGCAAAAACGGTTCCCCAAAACTCTCTACCTCCTAAGACGTGTTTCTTTCTCGTAGAACGGTTTTGTCACGTTGTTCAAAACGAAAACCGTCTGCAAACGTGTTCGTAGCACACATGTGTAAAAAGTGAATGTGCTATAATGTGCTCATTATGCCTGCGGCGAACACTGCGTGTCTTATTTGCGTGTGATGTAGGGGCAGTGTGGGACTGCTGGCCCAAATGCTCACATGTTCCTGCCTGGCGCGGCGTTCAGAGTTCCGAAGATGTTGACACGGTCGCCGACGCCCAAAGGTGCGGCCAACTTTATGCTGCACGGAGACGGCTGGAAAGGAAAAATCGGGACAAACATCGCGGTAAAAGAAGATGAGCTGGATAGAATCACACCCGTTGGTTGGACATCAATCGGGAATTATGAAGAAAAAATCGAAGTGACTTCATACAACTATAATAAATACTGTTTCGATCGAGCTTCACACCAAGTTAAAGTGGCGGTGCAACGATTTATGTTTTGTGCTGTGCGTTAAATATTGCATAGAACGAATTCCCGATGCTTGTAACCTATAAAACAAGCGTTAGTTTTTCTCCACATAAAATATTAGTCGCAAAACAATTAGAAAAAAAAAATAGCAACGTTCTTTCCCTCAATTCCCAGCCTGAACAAGCGACCACGTGATCTGGAGCAAAATATATATACCGCCATTGTTTATCATAGCCAGAACCCGAGCTGATTTCCAGACATAGTTAGGGCTCGGCTATTGTCGTCATTGCCGCGATGGGACACAAGCCACTACCCAAATGCTTGTCGAGCTATTGATTATCGCGAGCCCAGATCCAATCACTGCTCACGCAGTGATTGGGTTCAATTTATGAGTCGCATTCGAATATTGACACTGGGAAACTATCCCTAACACAGCGATTTCCAAATTACGTCAGCAAGTCTTGCGCAGAAGAAATTGAAGGAAAAAAAAGTTGGCTTTTATTCTTGAAATTACACCGGAACAAAAAGGCTTATTTTCAACTGGCGTTGCGTGCGAGTATGCTTGGGTCCCGAAAGATGAAGTGAAAAACGTTACAGCTTTACTGAAAAACCTTACAACTTTACGCTCAAGGTGAAATATTTCCCAGGTGTTTCACCGTTGCACCGTCCCAGCCTGACCCTAATGAAGACATTTGTAACTGAGATAAATGCAGGGTGATGTCGCCTTCGCACTTACGTAATTTGAAATCAAACCGACCTTTCTTTCTTTCTTTTTTTCTTAGTTAGGTCCCGATTGAAACAGTCGTGGATGTTATTTAACTGTAGCCATTGAGAGGATAAAAACGGTAAAGAAGTGTTTCAGTTTTCGCATCTCCGGTGCCAGCTCCCTGCGTTGTAGAAGGCTTCGGTGCCTCGTGACCTTCGAGCGAGCACGCGCAGTCAAAGCACGACGGAAGGCATTTAGCGTTTGCTGGAGGCAAACGCTGAAAACAACGCCCATGACCTTCTCTTCCTGTTAGTGATAATAAACATAGTATACAACGATGTAGACCTACGTGAGAAAGGTCTCGAATCTAATTGAGTCCCTTCTCTTTTTCCACTACATAGTTAAAAACTAATTGGCCACCTTCTCAGTAAAGAAAAACAAGAGCAAGTAACAGCTTCTCCGTTTTATGAGCTATGAACATTTTCAAGAAAACAACTGCAATTTGTATAGTGGACGCAACTTCATAGAAACGCACGTGATGGTGTTTAAGCTGTCGGCTTTTAGAGAAGCCGACGAAACTTAAGCGCATTCGGGGGTTGGATGCGCACGCGTAAAAAGCATGCGGCGGCTACACTAGCGGCTCGAGTGAGGCGCGTGGTGTAAATCGCAACAGATGTCGACACTGGCGCATCGCTAGATAGAATGGTACAGAGGTGTGCGCCTGCGCCCATTTGCGAACGCCTGAGGCAATATTCGCAAAACTTGGCAGGCTGCGGCGACTTTTTACTATCGTGACGACTGCAGCGCTTCGGTTGTTGTCTACACACGCAAGCCTCACTAACTCCCATTGCCGACCCGTGCCTATCCAAAAACTACCTCGTATTTCAGCACGCCGTGCGCCAGTTACAAGTGACGCAACTGTCTTCTGCTTCTTCCTCTGTCTACGTTTCCTCCAAAGTTCGTGCGAGCCTCCATCACTAGGTGCGAAAGGTGCTCTCGCATGCACCGAAGTATGATGCCCGGAACGGCGTCTCCGACTGGCGTGTTTACCGCGTCCGAAAAAAAAAAAACGGGTTCATCGATTCCCTCCTAGCGACGTCATACAAATGCCACGCTGTTGCTGGTCGCGATCCTGGCGGCATCCCAGCAGCAGTTGTGGATGTGGCAGACGCCTGTTCTGCTGCAGGTCGCTGGCAGCCCACGGAAGCTTCGGCATCCAGGAGTTTGGACGCCATGATGACAGCGACACTCGCTTTCGCTCGTGCTTTTCGCCAGCATTTTTACGATCAACCGTTGCACATCCCAATATGCAACAGCACGACACTCCGGCTTTTTTTTGACGTCATCGTTGCCACTTCGGGACCTCTTTTGATGTATGGGCAGGATATGACGCTAAACGCATCAGACGAAGACGCGCTCCAGGCACCCTAACTGAAGTGAAAAGGTGCCGATTTTGCTGTTCGTGGTGCAGGTCACACACAGCCGCCAACTGTCTTAAAAGTTAATATGGCGAAAGCCTTATATGTCTCATCGCTCAGTCCTTGAGCGAAAACGCGTCTGCGACACGAAAGGTACCAAAACCCACGGTTAGCCTATGGACCACGAGATGGCCTTACTTGTGCCAGAGTCGGTGGAGGCGCGCGAGTGGCGCAAACACAGCGGGAGAGGAGGGCACTCTCGCCCTCTCGCTCGGGCAGCGGTAAAGAGCGGGCGTGCGACATGCCGTGAGATTAGGGAGTTTTAGTAGACCGTGTTTCCCCCTCCGCTAGCCCTCCGCTATATACGAAGAAACCGCCACTGCGCTTGCGCGCCGATGGCCTTGGCTGCAGAGTTCCGGGTAGCGGAGGGGCTTAGCGGAGAGGGAAACACGGTCTACTAAAACTCGCTATTAGCAAGTTTTAGTAGACTGCGTTTCCCCCTCCGCTAAGCCCCTCCGCTACCCGGAATTCTACAGCCAAGGCCATCGGTGAACAAGCGCAGTGGCGGTTTCTTCGTAGCGGAGGGTTAGCAGAGGGGGAAACACGGTCTACTAAAACTCCCTAATTAACGGCGCCAGAAGTGCGTCGTCAGAGAGCGCGCCGTCTTCGGAGGTTCGCTATCACCGGGAACGGCGCTTGGGCTTTCGCCTTCAAGTCGTCTTAGGGATAACGTCAGAGGCCCTGTGAACTTTGTATTCAAGACTGTGGCCTAAGGTGCAGCTTTAAAAACAGTCAATCGAGCCGATCAGGTAACGACATATGTGCATCGTCATAGCCCTCGTCGATTTGGGGCGTTTGCAACCAGCGAATAAATCAATTGCGCACAGAAAAAAAACAGCACAGGATTGCGAAACATTTACGGTGCGTTTCTTTTTTTTTTTTTTTACCGAAGATTGCAAATTTACAAAAGCTACAAGCGCCGTGATGATGCACTTTTGGAGCTGGTATTTGACTCCCTCGAATCGTTTCGCCCGCTGCGGTCGGACTTAATGTTAAACAGAACAAAACAAAACAACAAAGTAACCATTATAGGAAAAAGAAATGTATTTCCTGTTTTGTTACGGAGAGTTATATAACTTTTTTTCCTTGCATTTTTTGTATTTATTTGTTGTTGTTTTTTTTTTTTGTTTTTTTTTTTTTTTTTTTCTTTTTTGCGTTGACGCTTGTTGAGCAATCTAAACGGGTAACAGGGCTTTCTTAGGTAGGGAAAAAAAATTTTATCCTGTTACTTCTAGATCTTGCATTCATAAAAATACCAACAAAAAACAAACATACAAACTTACGAGCGTTGCGGCTGGGATGTGCACCGACTTGACGTCCCAGCATCCGTTCACCACCAGCTGCAGGCTACTCTCACAGACTGACTGGCCGTCACCGTGTGCCACCAGAACGTCGTTGACGTAGATCTGAGAAGCAGTGAAAGGATGACGGCAAAGACTATGAGTGGACGTGTGTAGAGGTAGTAGATGGTAGTAGGTGTTAGAGTATTTATCCCTTTTGGGAGATCGCTCTAAAGGAAACACTCTAAAAAAAAGGGTGTAAAAGGGTCTATTCTTACACCCTTTGTCCGATATAATACACCCCAAAACTTCAATTCGACGTACAGCGCCCTACAGTCGAACAGACGGCCCCAAATTTTACGAGGGGCTTGATAGCCGTGTGGTATGACTTATTCAAATAGCTAATGTACGTGTTACTGACTACAAAAAAAAAATATTAATCGGGGTTTTTCTGGCCCTACTGCAAAAACTCAGTGTTTTCTTTCTGTGGTCTTTGATAAGTACTTTAGCTATTTAAAAAGTTATATCGCACCGTTATCAAGCCCCTCGTAAACTTTGGGGCCGTCTGTTCGACTATAAGGCGCTGTACGTCGAAATGAAGTTTTGGGGTGTATTATATGGGACAAAAGGGTGTAAGGTGATACCCTTTTTTTTTTAGAGTGTATGGCGCACCGTATTTTCCTTCTCACTAACACACTGAGAGACGCTGTGAACTACGAAATGCGATAAATACCGTCCCAATCACTCTGATGGTGACTACAAACAAAACGATAGAACACAGAGTATGCAAGTTTCGTTGACACCTAAGGCGCACGAGGGCTCATACAGCATTGATTGCCATGCCATAGAAACTTGCCACGAATCATTGGTCTCCGGTGTCAGATGGTCAAAATTAATGACACGTCATCTTTCGGCGCATTCTTTACAGTTCTTGTTTAAAAAATTTGTTGGCGATCAGAGGGATTGATCGGGCGGAAAGGCGCAAGAATTAGTTCTTCCTTATTCCTTTCCATTCGTGTACGACCCCTTTCCATTCGCTTATCACCGCATCCGTATCACCCGTGATGGGAACCGTATCTATCGTTTTAACTACACACACACATCACAGCCCACGAACCGCTGCTACGAAAACCCAGAGCGAAGAACATCCGTCGACGGAAGAGTGGCAACAGAGCAAGCCCGCATTTCACTGCGCCGCGACGCCTCCTCCTCTTTGGCTTTGCGCCAGCTGTGCGACGCTCCTTTGACGAAAACAAAAACGGTCGTTTTTACGAAAACCCGGCGGTGTCTGACAGTTTGTCAGCGCCGAGAAGTGAGGGTGAGGATGACGCGTGTGACGTCAGCGCTTCTGACCAATAAGAGCCTAACACGCGTCACCCTCCTCTCCCCTTCTCCCTCTCTCCCCGGCGCTGACAAACTGACAGACACCGCCAGGTTTTCGTCAAAACGAGCGTTTTAATGGTAACAACTTAAAAACAAACTACCCCTCCTCTGCCAAAATCATTATATTTGTTGAGTGCAAGGCTGACTGGTGAATCCTTCTGCAACCCGAGGTTAGCACGTGCTCTGAACAGACTCAGTAACGGCCACCAGTGAATGTAACCTGTAGCGAGCACGTGTGTTTTGTTGATGTTTTGCCATAAATTGCCCAGTGTTCCCCCCCTCCCCCCTTCGTGTGGCTCTTCCGTACCCACAAGCAGATGAAGACCAAGTCTGTCCGCACTTATCGAACAGAAAGAAACCTAATGTCACGACCTTAGTATCCCCAGTCACTCTGCTCACACATCACTCACTCAAAAGACACGATGTCCGTTAAAGAGATGATGACAAAAATATCTGCGGACACGCCTGATGCATCTTCGAAGCATGTTTGTGACGCGCCTTATACGGTGCCAGCAGACAGTCTTTTGTATGATGTCATGCTTTAGGCTGCTGCTATGCCACTTAGTCGGACGCACTGAACCCAGGCTTAACCCACGTCTTCTTGAATTCATATATTTCCATGGGAACACTGCGCGGGCCTTGGTTGCTCTTGTTGGTCATGCCACGGTAAGGCCGTGTGGGAGAGTGTCAGCAATGAGCGCAGGCGTGGGGGTGACTGCGTGTTAGTGCTATTGCAACTTTTATCGTACTCGACGGGAGGTCTGGGACGGGCCATGTTTAGACCTCGCATCTGTAGCATTCTTTGGGCGCTCTAAAATCGCGTAGCGCGGAACTTGGCTCAAAGCGGTGTCCGCTGAAGCTATGGACACTGTGCAAAGCCGGAATTCTTTGTTGTTGTTGTTCTTCAAAAAGCGAAGCGCTTACGATATTTCCGCCTTATACTCCGTCTCACTAAAACGGTGCAGTACAGCCAAAGCTACAGGGGAGAAGTCATATGCCAACTTGTTCAAAAGGAGGGAAAGGAGGAACGGGGGTAAAGGGCTGGGATTTCCCCGTTCCTCCTTTCCCTCCTCTTGAACAGGTTAGCGTACGCTCTCTCCCTTGTATCTTTGGCTGTACTGCACAGTTTTAGTGAGACGGAGCATAAATCCAACGCTGCCACCTGGGCACGACATCTGCCACACGAGTCGCACTCTACAAAAAGTCTTTGAGTACGCTTTTTTGCAAAACATGGATAAAGCCAATCGCGATGAAGAATAGCAGGATCCCAGCCGTGAACGAAACTCGTTATTCGATTAGATTTAAAAAAAAGAAAATGTGACGTGCGCAGGGACAATGTGCATGGCGTTTCACTTGCTCGTTATTATTGCGCAGATCGCGTTTTCTAGTCGTATTTTGTGTTTTGTCATTGACTGGGATCCTGGATTTGTTCGCCATAAATGATTAACTGTCCCCGTGTTCTACAGGGAAGCGAACTTACAGACAGTTTAGATAACACCACAATGTGTTTTAACAGTCAAATACTACGAAAAAACCGTCACGAAGATTCGTCACGTCATTTTTCCCCGCCTAATTTAGCGGGGACCTTATCGCCGCGTTACGTCCGATTCCTTCCCTAAATTTTACCGAGGAATTTGACGTCACGCGACCGCTTGACGCGACCTCAAGTCACGTGACGCCCCATTTGCACGCAAAAATTAAGCGGAGAAAGTGATGTCACGTGGCATCAATTCCCCCCCCCCTCTAAATTTAGTGGGGGAACTTGAAGTGGCGTGGTGACCACGTCTCGTTACCTCGCGTCACGTGATGTCAATTTCTGCGAGGTATCCGGAGAGCAAGTCGTCTGCTTCTTGCTCAGGAGTGGTGGTGACGTCAGAACGACGCCGAGCTCTCATTGGCTGATTGAAAAAAAAAGTGGGTAGACATCAATGCTCGACGCCTTGAGGTCTACTTGCTATTTTTTTTTTTTTTAATCAGCCAATGAGAGCTCGGCGTCGTTCTGACGTCACCACCACTCCTGAGCAAGAAGCAGACGACTTGCTCTTCGCACAGCTCTGCGAAGTAATAGCTTGAGATCAACGCGTTATATGTTCTCCCCGGTTTTTGTCAACATAATCAAGTATGTTTAATTTTTCTTTTTTTTTTTTTTTCTTAAGCCGGAGTCACCCTGATAATACTTCGTGCAAAATACAGTCTGCAGCCATTAGAGTATTTCGTGCGAAAAAGCGTGTCGTACCCTCCAGCCGTCGAGCCAGCGGCGGAAGCGCACAACGAATGCGCAGTGCGGATGCAAGGTCAGGGTGCTTCGGGGCACGTAGGTGACTTTCCCGTTGGCGTGCCGCACCTGCAACACGTACTCTTTCGACGCGTGGTCTCTCCACAGACAGTCCGGTTCCTGCGGCTCCTCTTTGACGAAAATCTCGCAGCTTTGCTTTCCCTTCAAACATAAGCAAGCCCTGTAAATTAAAAAAAAAAAAAAATGTTCGCAGCGACTTTTAATTTTAATTTTGTAAAATTAAGGCGGCAAATACAGTATTAAGGAGCGATATGCGTCAAAGTTCCTCGAGTACTGGAAACAAAATTAAATGTACCTTAATCAAATAAAGTCAGGAAGCACGTAATGTGCTGCGGGCAAATGTGTAACCCTTTTTTAACGCTTTTAGGCGGTGTTTTAGTCTTTCACTTCCCACCGAACTTCCGGTTCATCACAGGAATAAAAAAAGGTCACCTTAAATACCCCTGTAAAAAAAAAGGTATATCTATATACAATTTTTTTTTTTTTTTTTTTGTTTAGTTAGCCTGGTTGGCACAAGCGTGTCAAGAAATAATTTTTACGCGGAAAACGTTTTAGAGCAATATTGACGGCGAGATATTTATTTGAAATTATGCGCGCAAAGTCCATGACGTTACGGATTGGTCATTCGCTCAACATGATTGTAATTCGCTCTTTCCATCTCAACGTGATGGCGAAGCCGATCCAGCTCTCCTCCACGCGCATGAAATGCCGAGAGAGAAAACAAGTGGAAAGGAGGTGACTACCAGCTGAATCGCGTCTTTTTATATATATATATATATATATATATATATATATATATATTAGCGTAGAAGTAATTTTTTGACACGCGTGTCGCTACCAGACTGTTTAAAAAAAAAACATTTTCTTCTATTTAGGGGCCCTTTAAACCGCTGTTTGAAACATCGATGAACCATTTAACTTCCGATTCTCCAGGTGAACGCCAAAAGAACCAAGAAATGCGAAATCTGTTCAATTTTTTTTTTTTTTCGAATTGTAAGTTAGCTTGTTTCCTCCAAGACGTTAAATCGTACAGCCGAAGGTTCTCGCTAGAACTCCATCTTTGTTATCCGTGTAGCCTTTATGCTTTGTAGCACTGGTGACATGAGCAGCTCGAAAGGCTTGTCGCTTACACGCAAGCAACGGTTCATGTTTGTAAACAGTAAAAAGGAGTGTATATATCTTTTTTTTTTTATAATAAATTATGAATATTATGTAGTTATAACTAAATTATTAAATTAGTTGAAGTTAGCGGGCGATATGTCTTGCCCACTAAAATTATTGACCATACGACTGCTTTTCGCGTTGCTTTCTCGCAACGTTAGTCTCGTGTCATAGGAACCAGGCTTTGTGAAAATAAATTAAAACTCTGCTTACCCATTCAGTTCAGAACCGAGCACGGATTCCACGAATATATTGCCTTCAAACACCATACTAACATCAATCGGCTTGCTGGTGTCCTGGGAATAAAAAGAAAATGTGGGTTTACGGTTTTTTTTTTTTTTATCTAAGCTGTACGAGTTTGCAGAGGCTGACAAAAAATCTGCAGCCTTCAGCTGTCCATATTTATTTACTTCGATAGAATTTTATAAACTATACGTCCGCTGCGCAGTTCACAGGTGTCGCGTGCTTCTTTTCATCGTGGGCGTCTCCATCAGAAATGCGAGGGCACATCAAACACCTAGAAGACAAGACCAGCGAGTGGCGTCGATCGTCGTTGTCAAATCCCCGACCCGCCCCTTGCGGCAAATACGCCGAAGCTCGATGTGGTGTGTCACCGCATGCAAAGCGTCAGACGCTTTGCGTCGCCGCGTGCTTAGCGCCGCCACACGCTGTGAGACGCTGCGAAACGCGCTTTCGGTGATATACTGACGCGAAGTGAGGGGGCGTTGCGTGTGGATTCACAGTCAGATGGATTGTAACTTTCGGTGGATGAACGCTCTTTGTGCTTAGCGGCGATGTTGGAATTTTTATTGGAATATTAGTTCAATGTTGAGATTAGAAGTTTCGGTTTGGTGGCGCAAGCCGCGCCGCTCGATAAAAATGCTTGAGCCATATCCATCCATCCATCCACTCAGTGATGCAACCATGCAGTGATAGAGGTGTCGCGAACCTGACAAAGGTCGAGTTCGACCAAATTCGACTTTGTCGACCTTTCAAAGTGATGTTCGACAAAGATTCGACTAAAGTCCAACTTTTGTGCGCAAACGCAAAAAAAAAAAAAAAAAAAAAAAAAAGATCTGTTTTTTTTTGGCGGAGGAAAACTGCCAAATTCGTTGGGTGTAATGGCATCAGTGGTTCACATTACTATATATCTAACGAAAGCATTAAAAGCGCATATTTTCGCTTTTATATGGTGTAATCATTGGTAACCATTTTATAAAATAGAAAATAAACTACTTTCTAAATTATTTGTTTTCCAAAGTGTGTAGAAGCCGGGCAACACTGTCCATAAGTCAAACTTCGTTGAACTTTAGTGAAAGGTCGAAGGTTCCGCGAATTGTCGAACCTTGAGGTTCGACAAAAGTTCGCGACACCCTTAGTGATGTCGCTTAGGGTATGATGTTCTGGACTCGACTCGCCCGGCATTTCTCAAACTGTCAGTGACTATATACGAAGAGGAGCAGAGCCGTATATGTAGCGAGTTTGGCCATTCGTTACAAAGTATAGGAGACAAATGAGGTGACTCCATTGGTCGAAAGCGTGCTGGGCGTGTTCCAGGGCGTCTTCACAAATTCGAATGTAGCCGACCAGATTCCGGAAATAATACCCTGGCGGTGGTAGCGAGAAACAAAATAAGTGCGTCGGAGTAACTCTCGGTGACTGAAAATATAGTGCACGTGATGTTTCAATCACGGTCATCCAAAATCATGGTGGAAGAGCGGGACTAGCGGAACGATGGACATAATCCGTACGCCAGGCGCCGAGGGCCGGGAATCTGCCGTCCAAGCGGTCACACCCTGTCCGAGCAAAACAGAGTTCGAGTGGCACATTCGTTTCTTACATCTTTCTGCATGACCATAATCGAAACATCACGTGCACCCTATCTTCAACCAGGAAAGGTTAAAAATACCTTTAACTCTTACGCACCTATTAAAACCATATACCTACGATTAAAATTGTTTCTCGCTACCACCGCTATGGGATCCTTTTAGGCTTCTGGATGGCCAAGAGAGCATGTCAAGCCCTCTTTGTGCGTCTGGTGCACGCCCTGGCTCTGCCCGCACCTCCCATTGACCAAACTCTCTCTATACACGGCTCTGGAGAGGAGGGGTCAGAGAGCCGAGCTCTGATTGGATGGACTAGTGGGTAGACTCGAAGGCTAGCTGCCTTTGTCTCGGCTCGCTGTTCGAATCCGTTCGAACGCGAGGCGCGACGCGAGGAGCAGACGGCGCTAATTGTTCGCCCTCATTGGAGGGAGACAGAAGCAAAGGCAGCGAGCCTTTGCCTCTACCCACTAATTCTTCCAATCAGAGCGCGGCGCTCTGACGCCCCTCGCGCTCTCATCTCCTCCTCCTCCTCCCTCTGCGCTTCTTTCCGTTTAGCCCAGAGATAAGAACGGCAGGGAGGAGCTCCGGTTGTCCGAGGGAGCCTTCACGTGCGCTACATGAAGGCACCCTATAGGTTGTCCCACGTCCAGCACGCGCGTCCTACCTTCGGTAACGCTTCGGCGACTCGTGAGCTTCGGGCGCGCATGCGCAGTCGAAGCATGGTGGAAGGCAGCGAGCACGTGCTGGAGGCCGTGCTTTCGAATGAGACGCCCTGTCGTCCACTTCACAAAACGGTTGTGACAATATTTGCTTGTCGGAGGAAGAAGCGATACGTTTGTCAGTCGCAACGTTTTACGTCTCGATAACATAACGTAACGCTCATCTAGGGTGCCGTTCACACACTTGCAACCGAGTAAGACCGAGAGAGACGAGTCCGGTTTTTAAGTCTCTTGCGACGGCGGAGGACCGGGTGCGCTGTGTGGAGCAGGTCCTGCGCCGTCGCAAGAGGCTTACAAAGCGGTCTTTTCATTCGGTCCTACCCGGTTGCAAGTGTGTGAACGGCGCTTTAGATGTCCTAACATACATCATAATTTACCCCAAGAATGTATAAGTAGTAATCGCTCTTATCTCCTCCTATTTCTCAGTCGCTATTCGCATTGTTATAATCGTTGTCAGTATACATACCGGATTGATCAAATGAATGCCGGTCGCGGCTTTCACAGCCGACAGCGCTCTCTTCACTTTGGCCTGGCACTCGCGCTTCTTCTTATCCGGCTCTTCCAGCTGAAGTTCCCTCATTTTGCGAATGATCGGAAGCACGTAGATGTCGGGCTCCGACTCGGAGTCGGACACTGCGTCCACGTACACTATAGGTTCGAAAGCACGCACGCCCATGGCGTATCTTTTGCCCCCGAGTTGTCCTGCCCTGTATAGAGGTACTCAGTCGCGCCCCAAATACGCCTCTCTATTTATAGTCGGTGCATACGCAGAGATGAATGCCCACCCCTTTCCCATCACTTCACCTACGTCAGGCATGAACGGCGGGTTCGAGTTCTGAGAAATTATCGCCGGGCAAGCGAGCGTCCGGCGCGGAGCTCGAGGTGCCTAGGTTTCAAGATGGCGTAAATTAAAGTTGCCCTATTGTTCGCTCATTGAGTAATCTGGCAACTCTAGAATGTTCCCCGTGCTCGTTGTCTGGAGGGCGGATACGTGTTTGCAGGGGAGCGGCGTTGAACGCTCCTCTCTTCGAATAGGGGAGCTGGATGATATCGTTGTGCGTGTTCCCATACCATCACATGTAACTTCCTTCTTCTCCCGATAAAAAAAAGAACTGACGGTGACCTTTATCTTTGAAGTCGTTTAATGCATGAAATGCGGTATTTAACGATCGATCGTTCAGATGGGTTAGAAGAGGAGTGAATTATATATTATGTATTGATTTACGTCGCGTATATTGACGTCGTCATGTGGTCACATGGCAATATCGCGATGCTGTGGTGTTTTTCCCCCGCAATCCTGAATACCACATAATACTACAGACTTGTCATCTCTGTTGCTAACGAGACAACTGGAACAAGATCGTTGTAACTCTTGTATCGTGTTTCCTTAATACATTATTATCTACAAACAAGAATCATTTCAAAATATTTTAGTAAGCATTGTGACA